CTCTGTCTTTGTGATGACCTTTTGCATTCTTCCTGGATGATTTTCTTGATATCCTCCCAAAGCTCATTTGGTCTTTGCTCATTGGTGTTCAAGGCCTCAAACCTGTTCCTGAGATGGTTTTGAAATTCAGGTGGGATAGACTCAAGGTCATATTTTGGTTCCTGTGAATTTGATTTCATTTTCCTTAGCTTCAGCTTGAACTTGCTTATGAGTAGTTGGTGGTCTGTTGCTCAGTCAGCACTTGGCTTAAGTTTCATAGCTGATACTGAGCTTCTCCAGTGGTTCTTTCCACGGATGAAATGGATACCGTTCCTATGAAATCCATGTATATAACCTGTGTTTATGTTTCTTATAAAATGTATTTGCAATGAGTAAGTCGTTGATTGTGCAAAATTCATTCTATTTCCAGCTTCATTTCTTTCCCTGAGTCCATGTTTTCCAACTACTGATCCTTCTTCTCTGTTCCCAAGTGTTTCATTCCAGTCACTCATTATTCATTTCAGTCACACATTATTATTAATGCATCTTGATTGCATGTTCGATTGTTTTCTGACTGTAAAAGTTGGTAGAAATCTTCTATTTTCTCTGTCTCTGGTTATTGGTGTATATATCTGAATGATAGTGGTATTCACTGGACTTCCTTGTATGTATATGGATAGTATCCTTTTGCTCACAATATTGTATTTCGAGACATATCTAGAAATGACTTTTTAACTATGAAAGCAACTCCATTTTTCTTCACCTTTTCATCTCTGGACTAATAGATCATATGATCGTCCAACTCAAAATGCCCCATGCCAGTCATGTCATCTCAGCGATATCTAGTATGTCGATATTTATGCATTCCATTTCTTCCTTAACAAGATCTAATTTTCCTACATTCGGTTCTCACATAATAAATAACGGAAAAGACCATGGCCAGAATTGGGTGCCCCTGAGGATTCAAACTGTCGTCTCTGCTTATCATTCGTTTGGCGAGGTGCCTGACAGCATGTTTGTCCAGTGCAGTGTGTTTTCCTTTAGCGAGCAATTCCGATCTCTCGGGAAACCAAGCAGCAGAAAAGCCATCCTGGAACGTGTGTTGGAGAAGAGCGCTGAGTGTGCCGTGGATGCCAGGAGAACTAAGTAGTCTGTCTGGGGACGTGCAGCCAGGGTGCTCCTTTCAGGCAGAGACGGTGACGCGTTGTCTCACGCTGTGGGCATGTTGTCAGGAGTGTCCGGTCCTTGGCCAAGGGAGCGTCTTCCTCCGTCTGGGGTTCTGATGGTCAGCTCTCACGACTGTCCTGGGAAGTGAGATGCCTGTGTTTTGCTTTTGCTGCGTTAGGATCTGTTGATATGTGAAATGTGCTGACGCTGGAACTAGTCAGTTTGGACACCTTCAACCCCCGCAGCGAGGCCAAGAGTGCCCGTACTTGGGGCTAGGAGCCATTTCCTGCCCACGGTTCCTGCCCTGTCCTTCCTGCTCCACAGTGTGAGGGTGCACGTGTCTGCGGTCAGTTTAAAGTCCTGGCCATAGAGAGAGCAGCTCGGCCACAGGAGTCGAAGGGGAGGCCGCTGCTGTGAGAGCCACAGGCAGTGTGGGTGTGCGGTGGAGGTGGAGGCCCTGGGCTGTCCGCAGCGTGCGTGGGCCGTGCTCCCAGGACTGCTCGCGCCTGCCTGCACCTGTCCAGCCTCAGGAATGCCGCCAGCCTCGGCTCCTGGTGAACAGAACCGTCCCCACTCTCTGTGGTCAGCTCTGACGCACGGCCGCTCCCCGGCTTCCTGTGCCTGTGACTCCTGGGAAGTGACCACCCGCCTGCTCTCTGATGCTGGCTCCTGAGCTGTCTGCACCCATGGCACCCCAGCACGCCAGAGGCCCTATCCCTTGTGGTGGGAAGTTCAAGGTGCTGCCAGGGAACACTGCCCAACTGGGGGAGGGGGAGTGAGCACCCCTGGAGACTGCTGTCCACGACCTGGTGCCTGGCCGCATGCTGGGTCCCGAGGAGTGGTGGGCCTGTGGTGTGGTGGGCACGGTGACGGGCCTCGCGGCGTGATGGGCCTTGTGCCTGGTGCCTGACAGCGTGGTGGGCCTGGTACCTGGTACCTGACGGCTGGTGTCTGGTACCTGACAGCGTGGTGGGCCTGGTGCCTGACAGCGTGGTGGACCTTGTGCCTGGTACCTGACGGCGTGATGGACCTTGTGCCTGGTACCTGACGGCTGGTGTCTGGTGCCTGACAGCTTGGTGTGCCTGGTGTCTGGTGCCTGATGGCGTGGTGTGTCTGGTACCTGACGGTGTGGTGTGGCAGTGTCTGGTGCCTGACAGTGCGATGGGCCTGGTTCTTGGCAGTGCAGTGGGCCTGGTACCTGGTGACATAGTGGGCAGCATGGTGGGCCGGGTGCCTGGGAGCATAGAGGGCCTTGTGAACAGTCATACAGTGCCTGCTGACCTCCGACTGGACCAGCTGCTTTGGTCTGTCACCAGAAGTGGGGAGGGAGGGAAGCTGTTGCCTCTGGCTTTGAGAATTGGACACCTCATGGTCCTGGAAGTCCACTTTGAAAAGGACGGAGAACTGGGTTAGCTGTTCAGTGAGAAGAACGTCTGTTTCCCCAGGAACTCCCACTTTGGGAACATGGAGATGTGCACAGCTGGTGTGTTTGAAATCTCTGTGGCTTCCTAGGTGGGGCCACAGTGACAGCCACGGCCACCTCCCCCAAGTCACCTCTCTTCCGCCTGTTTCCAGGAATGTTCCGGAGGATGACTGCGGCCGCCACGCGGCTCTTCACCAGCGAGGCCTCCGATGGCAGCTTCTACACCCTCGAGGGCCTGAACGCTCACGTCCGAGCCATGGTGCCCACCCACCCGGCCCTCGTGCTGCTCTGGTGCCAGCTCCTGCTCCTGGTCAACTACACGGACTATCGCTGGTGGGCCGAGGTGCAGCAGACCCCGAAGTAAGCTCTGCAGGACGGCTGCTGACCACCACGAGGGCGCGTTAGGACACGGCACACATCAGGGCCAGCCCTGCAGGGCTTCTGACTCAGCGGGGGCGGGGAGTAAGGCTGGGATGCTGCTGCCCCAGGGCAAGGACCTACAGGGTTCCTGACCACCAGAGGGAGGGGATCGGACGCTGCCAGCCCCAAGGCCAGCTCCGTGGGGCTCCTGACACTGCAAGGGACAGGGGGGCTGGAACGCTGCCAGCCCAGGGCCAGCTCCGTGGGGCTCCTGACACTGCAAGGGACAGGGGGGCTGGGACACTGCCAGCCCAGGGCCAGCTCCGTGGGGCTCCTGACCACTGCAGGGGGGCTGGGACACTGCCAGCCCAGGGCCAGCTCTGCGGGGCTCCTGACACTGCAAGGGACAGGGGGGCTGGAACGCTGCCAGCCCAGGGCCAGCTCCGTGGGGCTCCTGACACGGCAGGGAGGGAGGGCCCGGGACGCTGCCAGCCCTGGACAAGCTCTGTGGGGCTCCGTTTCTGTCCAGGAGCCAGGTACTTTGACGCTGACAGTCACTTAAGATGTGGCTGTCCTTAAAAGCATTCCCTGGTCCTTTAGGACGTGGCTGTGTGACCCTTGTTGCTGGTGGACATCGCTGTGGGAATGGTGTTGTCTGACCGGGGCAGCCTCTGTAGCAGCCACAGACCCTTGGGGCCAGAGCAGGTCCCTGACGCTGCGTCCCCTGTGGGTCACTTTGCTCTGGCTCTTTCCTCTGCCCCGCGCTCAGACCTAATGTGGTCCTTAGCCGGACGTTTGCTGTGCCTTTCCCTCCTGACACGTTAACGGGATTCTCATTAGCTATTTCAAAACTGCTTGGAAATTCCTTCCTCTTGGAAAGGAATCCTTCAGAAAGACTTTTGAGTGCCTGTGGGTGGCCGGCTTTTGCCAGAAGCTGTCAGATGGATGCGTCTGTTTCCAGATGCTCCCAGGCTGCAACCCACACACATGTGAGTGAAGCTCCGAGCCCCTTGCTGAGCCCCATGGTGTCTGCGGAGGGCGGGGGCCAGTGCTGGGTGACCAGCTCCAGTCAGAAGACACTGGGATTTTGGGCTGAGGCTGGTCCTCGCTCACAGGGTGCACCGTGAGCGGACCAGGCAGGAGGGTCCATGTGGCAGCAACAGCATCCCTTCCCACTGCACAGTCCAGTGCTGGTCAGTGTCCACGTCCGTCCTGTGCCCGGCCCTCTGGTGTGTGGATTCGGGTTGGGGCACAGAGCAGTGACACCACTGGAAACAGACAGTGGTTACCTGGCATTGAGTTGGCCCTGACCAGGTGGTCTCTAGTACTGGGGGGGGGGGACACACAGCTGGTCCTGGTCACCCCAGGGGTAGGTCACACATCGGCCTGGACCCCTGGCATGTTTTTGTGACTGAATGGTCACAGGTCACTCAGGGCTCCTGAGCTGAGCCTGCACCCCACAGGGGTCAGGTGACATAGGTCTTGTCATCCTGTCTGGGGGCCCTGGAAACGACATTCTTGCCAAGCTCCATTCAAGTCGATCTGTAGCATCCGGCAGCTTCTTCCTGGAGGGCTCCCCCCGAGGCCCTGCTGTTACAGGGCAGCCTGGTCCTAGAGGGCCCCCCAAGGTTGTTATGGGGCAGCCTGGTCCTAGAGGGCCCCCCAAGGTTGTTATGGGGCAGCCTGGTCCTGGAGGGCTCCCCGAGGCTCTGCTGTTACGGGGCAGCCTGG